GTATTATCTATCTCATTTAGCGAAGGTAATTTTGTTTATCCGCTTGTTTTTATTTAAAACATTTATTGCCTAAAGTAGCTTTAACTTTGGTCGTTCGATTTTAACTGCCACATTGTTAGTCACCTAGTTAGTGTTAACTTACTTTATTGTTAGTCACCTAGTTAGTGTTAACTTACTTTGTTGTTAGTCAGCTAGTCAGTGTTAACTTACATTATAGTTAGTCACCTAGTTAGTGTTAACTTACATTGTTGTTATTCACCTAGTTAGATTTCACTTACATTGTTGTTACTCACCTAGTCAGTGTTAACTTACATTGTTGTTAATCACCTAGTCAGTGTTAACTTACATTGTAGTTAGTCACCTAGTTAGTGTTAACTTACATTGTTGTTATTCACTTAGTTATATTTAACTCACATTGTTGTTAGTCACCTAGTTAGTGTTAACTTACATTGTTGTTACTCACTTAGTTAGTGTTAATTTACATTGGTGTTAATCACCTAGTTAGTGTTAACTTACATTGTAGTTAATCACCTAGTTAGTGTTAACTTACATTGTAGTTAATCACCTAGTTAGTGTTAACTTTGAGTTTGCCCCTTGAATCATGTGATTGAAAATAGTCCAAACATGGTTTCTAATGCCATCGCGATGTTCCAATTGACTGTAGTTCGTTTGTTTGATTGAACATAAAAATAGTGTAAAACATATAAATATTCATAAGATGTTTGACACCAGAGTTTTTTAAAGCCTAAATTTTTATTTAGAAATTTCGAGAACAAAAATTATTAAGTTGATTATGATACACATTTTTGAAAACTATTAATAATAATTCTTATCAAGTGATCATACTAAGATTATACATTCGACTTACCACTTTTCACTGAGTTATACCGATTTGGGGGAATTATTAGTAACCCTGGACAACGGGAAATCGAAATAATGAGACTAGGCCTCATATAACATCGGTATAACTCGATGATAAGTGGTAAGTTCAATGATAAATTGAGCTTCACATTTACGGTTTCCTGGCATATGAATACGAGCACCTCCGATATCGGTGGTATTGTCCGAAACACCCATAGTACTTAGTTATATACACAACTCTTCTAAACAGGTATGATGGGTCTGTTTTTCCTCAGTTTGATGTTTGTGTTGTATTGCTGATTGATATCATCAATATCAACTCTATGGCAATACTGTTCATTTTATTATGCAAGCGCACTGTGTTTATTTTTTTTCTAATATTTTAAACAGCTTGTCGCATGAATAATTCATAAGAAAAAAATAGAAGAATCAATGCTACATATTCTTGAAGTACTCATATAAAGATAGGATCAACGTGAGAATAAAATATTTATTTTGTTTAATGGTAACTTTTTACAAGAGGGCGAGAATAGAGGTTATGCAGTCACGTGACCAAAGTAAACAAGACAAATTTGCGGCCATTTTGAACGTAAACATTATTCGTGTAAACGTAGTTTCCGCCACACAAACACCCAGTTCTCCGTTCATTTTTCACGAGTTTACTAACAAATTAGACAATATATGCAAGTCAAGATATGTAGAGAAGTGCAGAAAAGTCGGTCTTGACACGATAGATCCTTATTCCATCCCGTCAGCAATGACAATCGCGCAGTTCAAGGCCTATAAAAGCCTTGATGCTTACAAGTACTTTGTGGCCAGCTGGGTGCACGATGTCAGTCTGTGGAAAGTGTACAAGATGTCCAACTACATAATTTACTCGAAGGTGAATCGAAGTCGTTTATAGTGACTAGGCTTAATAATTATAAATTAAACTTGGGCTTAGGCCTATTGTTTATGTTCTGTCAGTGGCAAATTTACAAACTAGTTGTACTACATCGTAATGTTTTGCATTTTAAGTCCTCTTCTCCTGTAATACCACTTTCTTCAGTACACAGTACCATATATTTTACACAAATAAGCTCTGAATTTTAAGACTGCCTGTATCGATAAACCACATTTTTGATAAATCTTTTTTATCGCCCACTGGGCCCTTCCATCTAGCACTGCTTGTATGGGCCTGTATCATAGTATTTAGATTACGGGAAGCACCAAATAGTTACAAGCTACAGATTTTATCAAGGTATGTGCAATGTAATTGTCACAAGGTACATTGTATATACAAATAATACTAACCAAATATAGAATGGGAACTACATAGTCTATGGTACAACGATGGTTTCTAAGCCTTGTCAATGTTGTTCGGGACTGCACGTTTTACTGCCGCAGTCCATTTAACTCAATATACTGGATCATTTGGAAACATATAAAACGATAACTCGGGATTCTTTGTCTGGTTTTTTGTACAACTAAATGCTGCCTTTCTGATTGTAATTTCAAATACTTGATTCCAAATTTCAATACCAACAACTACATTGTGATTACTAGATTATATTTCAGGTACGTCCGAAATGGCGGTGTTTACTTTTCGGTTTGCCGGTAATATATATGCATGTAATCACGCGCATAGGGTCTTATTATTATTATTACATGCTCCAGCAACTAGCACAAATGTGTTCTGAAGCTATGATTGAAATATTCTTTAAAAGTTAAAGATGTCATATTTAATGTCGGTTATGTATATGTATATTAAACAACAGAAATCATTTCTTGCTTTATTTTACTCAAAAGCTATCGAAACAATTTCAGTTATCATATTTGAGTCTTTATAAGTGTTAGTAAATCATGTAAGAGTATTCGAACTATTAGAGCAGAAGAATAAAGCGTATTTTATTAGTATTAAGAGTTTAGGGATGAATACACCAGGACACAGTTTTCCTTATATGGTGTGTCAAGGTCGTCGCGAGAACGAGGCTGAGCATTTTGACGAGAAAACAAAGTATATTCTCTTCATTCATTCTACCCGTAACTACAGCCATTATATAATTCATCAGGTAGTTGAATATAGAGATCCACACACAAATATAACTTATCAAATCACACTCCTTTCAATGGTAAGGATTAATAGTGAACTTGTGTCTTTTAAGACGATAATAAGTGGGATAACTACAGCCTTATGGGTGATAATAAAAGCTTTTTAGGCCTATTTTATAGTTAACAACCAGTTCTATAATTTACATCTGGCTGTATATGAACAAACTTATTCTATATAACTTCGAGCTGCTCCTTTTCAGTTTATTCGGACTTAAACAGGATAAAATACAAACACAGAAAAAGGTTACTGCTTATGTAGATTAGGGTAAGGGTTCAGAAAGCATTTGACAATGTGCTACATAAAACACTTCTTCCATTCAGCCACTTTTCTATCCAGTTAGTCAACTTATCCCCCCACACCAATGGAGATATTTTTTTACAAGCCTTTAGGTGGTACTTTTTCAAATGTTTTCTGAAAATCCAGATACACCAAATCTACACCCTTACACTCATCTACATTAGAGTAACCTTTTCAAAGAATGTCAAAAAACTGGTAAGGCAAACCTTTTCCTTAGTAAAACCATGTTGACTATCCAATAAAATTCTTAACTTTGTTAAATGACTTTGCAAAGCATCTTTTAACATACTTTCCAAAATTTTCCCACAATTGGTGGAAGACTAATAGGCCGTTAATTACTAAGAGTTAATATGGTGTAACTGGTAATTAATGGCTTCAATGCTCTGTAATCATAATGATTCCATTAAATTAACCCAAAGTTACAAAAGTTTTGGAATAATTTAACATAATAAAGTGATTTGAAGAAATACAGATGTGTATATAAACACCTACACCATACCTTGTCAAAAGCCACACGCTGGCTTGTTTACTCGTCAAAATAAACGCGGTCAATATGACCGCTAAATCATATCCTGGTGTATCAAAAAGAAACACACACACACAAACGGTTAATTATTGTAGTACTAGAAATATAACCATGCCTACGAATACTGTATAGAGGTTTTAACCTGATTTTTTCATTACCATTTCAAGATTTTCTCCAAAGTATTCTCCATTACTTGTCTCTTTTTTGTTACTTTTTAAATATATGGGGACATAACCCCCTTATTATGTTATTCCTAGGTTTTATTTGTTTAAGTTCTAACAGTTTACCGCTTGACCGAAGATACACTTCATTAGTCGTTATGATGATTAGTATTCTAAAATATACATAGGTGGTGCTGCACTGACGCCGACGAAATTTTATTGTTAATTAAAGTTCCATTTTTGGAGGTTGCAATAATTGAAAATAAAATATCTAAATTTCAAAATGTAACTTTCTCTATAAAGTTTACAATTTTCAAAAAAATGATAACTACATAAATATAACAACATTTCAAATAAGTTGGTTATTTCCCCCCCCCCCCTAAGATATTACGGAAATGGTTATTAGCGACCTTTATTCTAAGAATTAATAGATAGATAAATAAAATAGTTTTAGTAAATATTTTTGAAAAGGTTTAATTATTCTTATTTTCTTATACGAACTGTAGTGGCCATTGAAATCATCTGCTTTCAGGTGATGTTAATATGAGAGAATGGAGACTGTAATTTTTATTTTATGTATATTTATTTATTTATAAAAAACATCACGTAGAAGTCTGTTCGAACAATCAACAGTGTTGAGAACCTAAACCAAGAACATATCGGTTACAATATTACAAGTTTGGAATGGAGAACCAGTGGTATATAGACCTCATTGGCTTCTTTAGTCTTGAAAAAAGTGTCGTAAACATTATGCTATTTAAAGACTTTATATTGACACAAATTGACTCTCCAATATTTGGAAAATACAACTAAAATGCCAACCTCGTTATCCTCTTGATGAACAAAGCTAAAGAAAATTAATTAATTTTTGATTAGACTTAGGTAATCGTAAAGGCTACTAGCCCTGATAACGATTGTTATTGTTTCAAAAGTAAAGACAATTTTTAACTGATTAGTAACTTAAATTGCAAGAAACACAGCTAACTTTACCGTAAGAATGAAACACGAATTACAGCTATTATCTAGCATTTTAGGTATTGGAAAACTTAAAATGTAGCCGTACTCGGACCAAGAATAAAATCGGTCATTGCTGTATTTTATAATTATACAAAGTGTCTAGCCTCAGAAGATGTTTTGTGTAGCATCTTCAGTACGTATGAAATGTCATTGCTGTATTTAACATCTTCAGTACGTATGAAATGCGACTATTTAGCACCTATGTTATGTGAGAAAAACATTATTATTTTCCAATACCGTATACAGCAAGTCTGTTTGTAATTAAGCACAAAGCTACACAATGGGCTATCTGTGCTCTGCCCACCACGGATATCGAAACCCGGATTCTAGCGTTGTAAGTCCGCAAACATACCACTGTGCCACTGGGGGCGCTACAGTATGTTAATTTTTTAAACTTTAAGGACATTCATTTGGCCTTTAACTCTAAAAATACTGTTCCAAACGATCGCTATCATCATCTTCATCATCACGTAAATATTGGTTAACGAAATGAGTAAAAGGCTAATATTTTTAAAAACTTGTTTATTCAAATACTACTGAACAACATCAAAATTTTATTGGAACTGGTACAACGTTTTTTTTTTATTTTTAAATGTTCCCAGAAGTATACATTTTAACAAACACCGGACAATATAATAACAACTAGGGTTTCTACTCCTTGTTTATCACGCCACACAGAAAGTTTGTAGAGGAAACATTATAATTTTCTCCGTACATTATCATGAAACCACACGAGATTACAGACACGGGTCTCTGCAGCTCGAGACTTTGTCTGTAATCATCTTCACAATTAATCTAACAACATAAGGAAGTTTGATTCTGACAAAAGAATCGCATCACACGACGATATCCGTCTAAATTACGATGTAAGAGAAACAACAATCGGTTTAAACGTAGTATCCAAAGAAGGCATCGGTCAAAGGTCAAAGGTCATTTATAGGTGGATAGGAGAGTATTTGTCTCCCGAAGGCGACGTGGTAGGGTACCCCCCTTCTTTCCAAGAATTCTGGAAGAGTAAAGATATCAGGTTATCGGATTATCACGAAAGATGGTTTTAGTGATCATATCAATGTCAAAATCAAGAATATACAGACGGTTAAATACCTTATATTTTAAACAATTTCGAATATGCAAGATCAACAAGTCACGTGACAACCACAGCTGATATATAATCGAGATGAAACGGAATGTATCAGAACTATATTTTTACATTTGCATAAACGTAAATAAAATCACGACCTATACATCCAGAATGTAACTCCATTAGCTCAATGTTTCGCTATTACAGCTTCTTCAGGAGTTATTGTTATCATACAAGTTCACTAATCCAGTTAAGTCTAAATTGGAACACTGTCATTCATAAATCGAACATTGATACACGTGTTTAGAAAGTTCATATTATATTAAATTAATATCAAATATTGTTGTATTTATATTGTTAAGACAAATCAAACCATAAGTAAATTATTACCATCGTTGGACTTAGAATATAATACGTTAAGTATTTAAAACATATATTAATATTTGTATTAGTAAGTATTTTTTCCATCCTATTATATCAATACATACATAAAACAATGTCCGAACATATATTTCAATCCTTATAAGTGCGTATAGAGCCTTCGTCAAAGTTCAACATATTAAAATCTTTAAAATGTCATTAACGTCTCTACACTAAAAGCTTAGGCTGATTAAAATAGATTCTTTAAAGGTAAATATAATCACAACCTTTTTCTCCAGAATGGACTTTATTAGCACAGTATTTCGCTATTACAGCTTCGTCAGGAGCTATCGATATCCTGGAGATATAGGTCGTGATTATATTTACGTTTAGAGAAATGCCTCATAATAAACTCGAGCTTGCGTTAAACAAAGTTAATAATAATATATTTTTACATTGTTTGGCGTTACATAGTTTGTGTGATGCCACCAAAAAATAATATATTTTTACATTGTTTGGCGTTCCATAGTTTGTGTGATGCCACCGAAAACTGATATTTTGTGAAGGCTATGTAACAACCTTTTCCAATGCAAAATACCCATACACTCAGATCATAAAATATGTTGAGATTTGGGATTTAGAATGTCGAAGATGGGGATATCTCTATACTTAACGGCATGGGGGGAAACAAAGAAATGTGGATCAACTCGGGGTTTCAGCACTATCCAGAAAATGGCCTGCAACAAGTCGTACCCCAGCTGTGGTAAGCAAAGTGCGTCATTTTGTAACTGGTAGGAATCTGCGAACACAAGGGTCAGTGGTAAGAATTGTCCATGTGCTCCATACAACAGCATGCAACATAATTAAAAAGAATCTCCCTTTGAGAACAAAGGATACAGGGTATGGGTTCACCAAAACATGGCCCCCTAGTCATAATTCCTGTTTAAACAACGTATATGTTAAGCAGCTAGAGAATAAAACGGGAATTCATGCAATTCTTTATGAAGATATACTGGTCAAATCTCCAAATGCAGCGCCAATGGATTTCTCTGTGATCATACTGCTGGAATGCCTGCTGGAAAACCGTCGTCCTTGTACACTAGTTGGCTTATAGATACCAAGCAGGGAGAGGTGGTGTGTTTGGACATGAAAGTCTTACGACGGTGAAAACTAGGCCGTCAGAGACGTGGCGCCATACACTGTCACGGCGTGTTGAGGCTCCAAAATCGTTTTCATATAACGTATTAAATCTTTGTATACACATTATGTAAGAATACTTAACAAGATTGAAAGTGTTTGAGAACCAGATGATATATTATAAGACAACTCGACGAAACACGGAGGTCGAGACCCGAAATCAGTATTATAATAAAAACAAATGTAGATTAAACACCACATAACAAAAGGAATCCAGAAAACAGATTAAATAACAAAAGGAATCCAGATAATAGATTAAGCACCACATAACAAAAGGAGTCCAGACAGCAGATTAAGAACCGTATAACAAAAGGAATCCAGATAATAGATTAAGCACCACATAACAAAAGGAATCCAGATAATAGATTAAGCACCACATAACAAAAGGAATCCAGATAATAGATTAAGCACCACATAACAAAAGGAATCCAGATAATAGATTAAGAATCACATAACAAAAGGAATCCAGAGAACAGATTAAATAACAAAAGGAGTCCAGATAATAGATTAAGAACCACATAACAAAAGGAATCCAGAGAACAGATTAAATAACAAAAGGAGTCCAGATAATAGATTAAGCACCACATAACAAAAGGAGTCCAGACAGCAGATTAAGAACCACATAACAAAAGGAATCCAGATAATAGATTAAGCACCACATAACAAAGGAGTCCAGATAATAGATTAAGCACCAGATAACAAAAGGAATCCAGATAATAGATTAAGAATCACATAACAAAAGGAGTCCAGATAATAGATTAAGCACCACATAACAAAAGGAGTCCAGACAGCAGATTAAGAACCACATAACAAAAGGAGTCCAGATAATAGATTAAGCACCACATAACAAAGGAGTCCAGATAATAGATTAAGCAACACATAACAAAAGGAGTCCAGATAATAGATTAAGAACCACATAACAAAAGTTCAGATAACAGATTAAGTAAAATATAACAAAAGGAGTCCAGATAATAGATTAAGAACCACATAACAAAAGGAGTCCAGATAATAGATTAAGCACCACATAACAAAAGGAGTCCAGATAACAGATTAAGCACCACATAACAAAAGGAGTCCAGATAATATATTAAGCACTACATAACAAAAGGCGTCCAGATAATATGAAATAACACGTTGCAGAGTAGGCCACAGGGTAAATTACGTAACATATAACAAAAGTTGTCCTTACACTGATTAAAACCGAAGTTTTCTATGAGCTAGCTACTCATCTAACTCAAACGTTGAATATGTTTTTCTCTTATTTCCACACTGTTTTAAGTTGATTATTTGAATTGCTGACAGAATGATGTTCATACTTCTTACCCGAAAGCCAAATCACATAAAACACTCACTCACTTTCTGAAAATGTATTAGTGAAAACGCTATGCCACTGATGCTGTATGATGAGTTTGTGAAACTTGAAACTATTCAACATACTATGTGGCTAAAATAAGTAGTTACATCAATATATTTCCGAAGAAACTTTAACATCATGGATGTAAAAATGTTCTTAAAAATTTGGATACAACTGCAACGACAATATTCATGACGTAACAGTCGATCTGTCGTTTCGGTTGTTTTATTTAATAATTATTTCTTTTTTTTTCTAGTATACACTAACCTGTTTTGCACTTGTAAACTTCCGCTAATGTACATTAGCGATATAATTTATTTGTAAAAGTTCTAATATTTTTTATAATGATCGATTAAACTCTCCCTATTAACATCATCTATATAATCATACCCATTGTTAGTAAGAAAGCACAACTCTCCCTATTAACATCATCTATATAATCATACCCATTGTTAGTAAGAAAGCACAACTCTCCCTATTAACATCATCTATATAATCATACCCATTGTTAGTAAGAAAGCACAACTCTCCCTATTAACATCATCTATATAATCATACCTATTGTTAGTAAGAAAGCACTGCGGGTCGATAAGTATGATTGCTACAATTGAGACTTGAAAATTACCTACAACACTCGAACGCTTTTGAATGAGGTCTCTGTTTCAGACGAAGGAAGATTTGGTGGCGAAGCAAGGATCATCCTAAAATTAACTCGTGCCCTTTGAGCCAGTCACATTACTGGAACATGTATTAAGCTATGTTTGTATGAAATATATTAAGCAGTTGATAAAATTATTTTTGTACTTGCTAAAATTGTAATTTAGCGCTTAATAAAATTTTCCAAACTAATGGTACAAATACAATTAGACTGTCATTGATTTCTGGATACTTTATGAAGAACTCGATTTGTAAACAGAGATTACAATTTTAAAATCTTAACATGCACAAATCTAATACACCTTATTATTTTTTCACATACCAGGGTAATCATCCAGAAGTTGGTCCCTATCACATTCTGTTTCACTGTCTTCCTCTTCATACGTTAGGTCAGGTATTCTGGTGCTGTAGAGATACCTAGCCTCGACCTTCGGGTACCTAGCGTATCTGAAATTAAGATTGTACTAACATTTAGGCCCAATACTCTGGTGTTGCAAGGGTACCTACCTCAGCCATCTGGTGCTGTAGAGATACCTAGCCTCGACCTTCGGGTACCTAGCGTATCTGAAATAAAGATTGTACTAACATTTAGGCCCAGTACTCTGGTGTTGCAAGGTTACCTACCTCAGCCATCTGGTCTTTGTGTTTCACCTGGAACGAAGAATCTTACACAAAACGTTGTATAAAGATACTTAGTTTCGATAATCGGATGTCTATTATACCTAATATCAAGACCATTTATCAAAGTTAGGCCTAATACTCTAGTGTTGCACCTGGAATTATAGATCTTACACGAAAAGTTCAGTGTATTATCTTGATGCTGTATAAAGATACTTAGCTTCAATATCTACAATACCTAAAATCAAGAAGATGTTAGGCCTAGTGCTGTAATATTACTTACCTCTGTCATATACTCTCATTCTCCCTCTCTCTCAATATATATATATGTATACATAAATATGTCGGAATTAATATTCGTAATATCCGGATCTGTAACCTTTCGAAAGTTAACGAATCTATGGAAATCGTCAACAACTTTTGACCAAAACAAACTATTTACATGTATAAGAGCCAATAATTAACTTAGCAACTAATTTATTATACTGGTTTAACTAGGTACGTTAGGCCTATCATTTTAGTTCTGCAAAGTTGTGATTAAATCATTAAATTGATCTACGTATTATACCTGGAATTAATAACAAAATATCGCTTTACTTGTTTGTTTGTAGTTAAGCACAAAGCTACACAATCTGTGCTCTGCTCAACACGGGTATCGAAACCCGGTTTCTAGCGTTATAAGCCCGCAGACATACCACTGGGGCGCATCGCTTTACTATCTATTACGTTCGATACACATATCTTTCATCATTTCCTACCGTTATTTATGGATATTTAGTTTTTATAATTTAAAGAAAAACGTATGAAACATTTGACCGACAGATGTCACCACTTGATGTTCTAGCATTTCTTTGTCTAGCGACCGTAGGAGAAATCTGCTAAAAAAGTATAATGGGATTTAAAAGTGTCGGACGCCGAACAGTAAACATGCGGGATGATCGAAGATAGATTTATCTTCCTTCGCCTCGTAAGAGGTAGTTATTGTTCATCAAGAGATTAAGTATATTAACTTAGTGGAGGATTAAATATGGGCGCCATAAGTATAAGGTTTTAATGTACGAGGTAGGCGTGGAGTGAGGTGAAGTATCATCAAACGGGCCTCGCAGGAATCTGTAAATCCAAATGCTATGGCGAAAGACACGATCCCCATTTATTGGTTTTCACCTGAAGATAAGTACATTATTTCCAGTGGAGGTGTGGCCATTATTCTTAATTGTTAAGACACAGTAAGATAGCTACCAAATTTTGATCAAAAAAGGGGTGTTGGTGGTGGCTGTAATATGTTGTTTAAGTGTTTCAAGATCGTGATATGATATCATTATTTTGCAGGCTCTCCCTATATTAAAATGTAGTAAAAATGTTTTTATATGAAATGTCCCACATTTAGGGCTGTTGTTTTTAATGGAAATTCAATGAGATACACGAAAGAGAAACACTGTTTCTCCCTTCAATGACATACCTAGAGATATTCATTTCTATCACATTTTTTACTACCTTACACCATAAAAAATATTTTTGTTTACTTAAAATGTCATTAAGAATTGTATAATAAAGGTTTTACTGAAAACTGCTCCAGAATTATGTTTTAGTGAGTTCTGAGGATTTGAAAATTAAGTTAACTAGAATTATTTCGTGAATATATTACAGTAATGAGTCCCGAGGATCTGGTGATCGAGTTAACTAGGATTGGTTCAGGATTATATTCTAGCATGGAGTTCCGAGGATCTAGAGATCGAGTTAACTAGTACTGTTTCAGGATTATATTCCAGTAGTGAGTTCCGAGGATCTGGAGATCGAGTTAACTAGTACTGTTTCAATATTATATTCCAGTAGTGAGTCCCGAGGATCTGGTGATCGAGTTAACTAGTACTGTTTCAATATTATATTCCAGTAGTGAGTCCCGAGGATCTGGTGATCGAGTTAACTAGTACTGTTTCAAGATTATATTCCAGTAGTGAGTTCCGAGGATCTAGAGATCGAGTTAACTAGTACTGTTTCAATATTATATTCCAGTAGTGAGTCCCGAGGATCTGGTGATCGAGTTAACTAGTACTGTTTCAAGATTATATTCCAGTAGTGAGATCCGAGGATCTGGAGATCGAGTTAACTAGTACTGGTATAGGATTATATTCCAGCATGGAGTACCGAGGATCTGGAGATCGAGTTAACTAGTACTAGTACAAGATTATATTCCAGTAGTGAGATCCGAGGATCTGGAGATCGAGTTAACTAGTACTGGTATAGGATTATATTCCAGCATGGAGTTCCGAGGATCTGGAGATCGAGTTAACTAGTACTAGTATAGGATTATATTCCAATAGTGAGTTCCGAGGATCTGGAGATCGAGTTAACTAGTACTGGTACAGGATTATATTCCAACATTGAGTACCGAGGATCTGGAGATCGAGTTAACTAGGATTGGTTCAGGATTATATTAATTAATTAGTATTTGATATTTGTGAGTGAGGGAAGTTTTGTTATGTCTCTCTCTCTCTAGGTACCATGTCCATTCAGGGCCTTGGTGAGCATGATCTTCCAATGATCCCTGTCTTCCGTTCCTCTCATTATTTCCATAGTGAGAATTCCTCAACTGTTGATAGCGACATCTGTTTTTGTTTTCCTTTACTTTTCTTTACTGGGATTTTTCCTGTCATAATGATGTTTTCAATTTCTTCTTTTCTCATGATATTTCCTATAAAACTCCGTTGTCTCTTTGTTAACAATTTTCCACAACATTGGTTTTGTCTTGGCCTTCTTTAGAACTTCATTACTTGTATGTGTGTTCCACGATATTAAAATACCTTTCTTATATCAAAAGTAATAATGCATCCATTGGTTCGTTGTTAAGTTTTTCATATTTTTGCCTTAACCTGTTTTTTGAGGATGGAGATAGAGAGCAGCAAGCTCACAATAATTTCTGGAAACTTCTTTAAACAATGGTTAGGCTTAGCTATGTGAAGATAAATTCTTTAAGAATATTAATATTGTATGTGCTCATGTCACCATGCACATCTTCTTTGAATGTTTTGCACATGTGAATATAATAGTGAGCTTTCACTGGTGTTCTGGAAACCTGGCAATAGCACATGAAGGTCAGCAAGTCCACAGTCATTCCTGGACACTTGTCATTAGCTATCCCATCTTCTAAATTAAACTAAAGCCATTAAGTTATTAAATGAATAAATACAGACCTCAAACCCAGCCCTTTTCATTAATATATTTTTCAAGCTTTATCTTAAACTCATTTAAATTTACTGCTTCCACAACATCCGAAGGTAACTCGTTGCAAAGGTCAACCACCCTGTTAGAAAAATAAAACTGTCTTAGCTGAAGATAACTCCTACCTTGCCAAAATTTATATACGTGTCCTCTATTTCTACTATTCTGACTGTTAAGTATGAAAAAAGATGATGCATAAGTACTATCAATACCCTTTACAATCTTAAACACCTCAATCAGATACCTTCTAACTCTAAACAAGTTCAGAGATCTTAACCTCTCTTTGTATGATAACCCCTCCATCCCAAGCACCATTCTAGTAGCCTTCCTTTCAACACTTTCCAACAAATAATTCATTGTCCTTCCGTGATTAAATCACTCAAGATTGAGCACAATACTCCAAATGAGGCTTAATTATAACTTATTTAGATTTGTATTTAATATTTCTGTAGATACAACCAAAAAATCATATTCGCCCTACCACTAGCAACAGCACATTGATTGGACGGCTTAAGAGACCGATCACCTATTACACCAAGATCCCTTTCCTTCATAACACTGTTAAGGTTATTCCCATCCAAATTTTACTTATAACTCAAGTTATGATAACCCACATGCATAATCTTGCATTGATTATAATTAAAACCCATCTGCCATTTATTTGCCCAAGTCAGTAAATGATCTAAATCCTTTCGTAAATCAGCAGCACCCTCTTCACAACTATCAACACCCAAGACCTGCAAATTTAAGTAATTTATTGACCATTTCTTCATCTATATCATTATTGTTAATCAAAAAGAGCAAAGGTCCTAAGACTGAGCCCTGAAGTACCCCACTTGAGACATTAATCCAGTTTGACTGAACTCCATTTGTAACAACTCTCTGCTTTCTTCCATCCAGCCACTCTTCTATCTAATTTGCTAACGTATTCTCCACACCTATAGAGATAATTTTCTACAAGCCTTTTATGTGGTACCTTTTCAAATGCTTTCTGAAAATCCAGATACACCAAATCTACACCCTTACCCTCATCTACATAAACAGTAACCTTTTCCAAGGATGTCAAAAGATTTGTAAGGCAAGATTTTCCCTTAGTGAAACTATGTTGACTATCCAATAAAATTCTAAACTTTGTTAAATGACTTTGCAAAGCATATTTTAACAGACTTTCCAAACTTTTCCCCACAACTGATGTAAGACTAATGGGTCTATAATTACTGAGACAATTTTATCACTACCCCTGAAAAGAGGAGTAACATTAGTCAACTTCCAATCCTCTGTCACCTATCCATTAATCAAAGACTTACAAATAAGAGGGAATCCTCAATAGCCGCGGCACTTGAAATTCTTTTAGGCAGGATTAGAGTAAATTTATCTACGAGACCTTTGTTTCCCTTTTTATGAGCTGTATTTTTATGCGCCTGTAATACCAAGCGTGGGGCGCGCGTATACCCGATACAATTTTATTACTCATCAGGATCTGTACCAGCCTACCCTGAAATTGAAATTCTTTTAGGCAGGATTAGAATACATTAATCTATGAGACCTTGAGCGTGGTTAAATACATCAATCAAAGGGTTTGACCCCCTTAGTCCAAAACTGTAATTAGATCTCAAATCGGTGAAGAGATAATGGAGCTATGAGCTAAAATTTTATACATGCTAAAAAACCGAAAACCTTAGAGCCGTTCTACGACCCGCTCAACCATGTCTAAAAATAGTAGCAAGTGGAACTGCTATCTGGCCCAGGAGCCTTATCGTTCTTTAAACTTCCCATTTTTTTCTTAACCAGCTCAGAATTAATGCAGCCATCTTGTTTTCATCTTTCAACTGTCCAAGATGTGAAATACTGCTTAAATCTTTGCTAATAAAATCCGAAAAAAAAGCAAAATTTAATAACCCAGCCATCTCATAATCATCAGATACGAACCTTCCTTTATCATCCCTCAAGGGTCCTACCCCCATCCTAACATTTTGTTTACCCTTAATGTATTTAGAGAAATCCTTACTGTTAATTTTTATATTTTCAGCCAACCTTTTCTCATACATCCTTTTATGTCCTAATTTCCTGTTTGACTAATCTCCCATCATATCAATCAATTTAAATTTATTAAATTTGTGATGATTTTCTTTAATTTTATCTCTTATACCCTTTGTAAACCAACTTGGGTTTTTTACCTGCAGCTACCCTTTTCTTTCTATAAGGAATATGTTTATCTTGAATATTTAAAATCTATCTTTGAAAATTGTCCACAATTGATGAGTGTCTCCAAATAACTCAGCTGCCCAATTCACAACAGATTGTCGCATTCCTTCATGAGTCTGGCATTGTGATGGATTACCTTAAACCAGAAATCAAAGAGATCTTGGACTGGTCAGCAAGAAGTTTTGATCTAAGTCCAACAGTACATTTCTGCTCAAATACCTTGTACATTGGTACCTTGACGATTCGTAAGACGTCAAAAATTTGGCGATTCGTTGACACACACACACACAAACATCACTCGCTAATTCATCAAACATATATACAGTGTTTGAACTAATTATGATAACAGTGAATGTGATGTATATAAAATGCAAATATTATGAGATTTCTCCCCTCTATTATTTTATGTTACAGTCTTGAGTTGATAGTGTACACAGTGATTGGCTACCATTCAACCAGTCAGACAGTAACACACCAGCTTAGTACTAAAAAAGTACAGTCGTACCATGCCCAGTAGTAGTAATGTTTTTCAGTCTTGATTTCCAGGACTTGAGTAGTACACCACAAGTGTGTATAACTCAAAATTTCAACTGATCAATGATAATCCATATGAGAACTTGCGACAAGACTCAGTAGGTGTGAAAGAGGATACATGAAACTGAAACTTTTAGTAACAGAAAATGTGGAGGTAGAAAACCCTCCAAAAATAATGTTTCTCAAGGTATGTTCTTTACAAAATCGAGTACGTACTTTACCAATAACTTCGCTGTAAATGTTTACTTAGAGAACAGTAAGAGACACAGTAACATTAAGTGGTCTCGGTAGACGTGTAGCCTTATCTCTGTATCAGTGAATTTAAGTTCTTCGGCAACAATCAGCGACAGTGAATCATGGCGGAGGATTAGACAAGTTTGGGGCTGCACCTCTGTCAATAATGTTGATGATCTGCACAAAATTGATGGCACCTTGACTGCTGACAAGTACATATAAATCCTGATCTATTATACCATTCCCTCTGGAATTTGACTCATTGGGCGGGGATTCATTTTCCAGAAAGATAATTTTCTGAGGAATAGAACAAATGCTGAGAAACGATATATTGATGATAATTAGGCTTTGACTGCCCATGAGGTTATATCAAAGAGAGAGAGAGAGAAGCTCAGAACACGATCAAACAACTTGGCTGAATTGTAGTGAGTAATACAGGACACTTGGAACAATATCCCACAATCGTACTTTGTATGATAGCATAGAAACAAGGACTTATACTTTGTGTACTACAAAGACTCACATACAAACTAACAGTGCGTTAGATAACTTCATTCGATTATGTTTGTTTTCTGTGATGATGTTTTGAACCATTAATATACTTACCATCTAGTTGTCATTAGTCATTGTTTTTGACTCGCGTATGTCCATCGCTTGTGTGTTTCCATGACTACATATATAACAATGACAACATGTAGTTCTGATACACTCCGTTCCATCGTGACTTTATATCTCTTTGGGTGTCATGCCAATTGTTGGTTTGCATATTCAAAAACATTTTATTGTAAAATACTTAACTCTCTATGTAATAAGTGTTATCAAGTTAGGCTTAGCTTCGTACGATGCAGAAGAAATAAGTAGAAAGAGTTTGTTGAATTTTGCGCAAAACTATTCGAGAGATAACTGCGCAATCCATCCCTAATTTTTAAGTGATAGATTGTAGGGAAGGCAGCTAGCTAATACCACCCACCGCCAACGAATAGTGGGACTCCCCGTCATCTTATAACGCACCCACGGCTCAAAGGACGCGCATATTTGGCGATGGGTTTCGGTTCCGCGACCCGCAGATTGCGAGTTGAGGGCTATAATTATAAGGACGTGCTAAGCCTTAAGTAGAAAGAGAATTGGCCACGTCGAGAATGTGATTGACGAACTTGTTATCAATACCAAGAAGATGAAATTTTCGTTTTTATGTTGGAAATAAAGTTCTGTGAGCGTACCCAAAATGAAATCAACTTTTATTTCTCAAGAAGTCCCTAAATTATCTGTTTGTTAGCCACAAAATAAACTAGTTGGAAGTGTGGGACATTATAAAATACGATCACAGGATACTGAAAATCAAGTGTACACATACACAGACAGACACCCGTACAGACATGTATATATATACACACCAAGTACATTACGATAACATTCAAATGTACTTTTCTGTTCAATATAAAATTGACACAAAGTTACCTCTTTAAACGTTTTTACACTATGAAAAATTTAACTTTTTTCGGTTAATTACTTGACGACTTTATTCGAAAGTTCTTTCAAGTCGAAATCAGCTTAGAACAACAACAACAAACAAGAACTAATCAAAAACAATTAAAGAATGTCATTTTCTGACCGCTTTCGAAATTAATACCATGAAATAAGTGGACTATGTAACATAAACGGCAAGTGTTAACAACAATAATTTCTCTGTGCCGTTTTAATAAAAGCTTAGAAATGTTACATTGAAAAAATATAGAAATGTATATTTTACTATTCCAACTCTCTTTACTACATTGTATAGAGATAGGTTTCTGTATAATTCAAACTATAAAACAGGCGCCATAATAAATCGTACCAAGTGGTTCTAAAGAAAGTTAAGCCTTTTTTCAGGACTTCCGATAGTACCATCTCGCGATCCTGTTTTAGTTTTACATTGCCTGTTTTGTATTTATTTTTGTACTACCAATCACCCATCTTCTGTACAGTAACCCACATCTACTTTACGTTCTAATTTCAAGCCCAGACCATAATAATTAATGGTAAAAAAAATACCGTTCGCACGTAAACAGGCGAGATGTCTTGCAGAGTAATGAATCTTGGCTTAGTGCGTTTTAGAGAAAATCAAGACGATTTGTTTTCTTTAAATTCGTAAGCTATTCTTCGTATGATTATGACGTCATATCCTATATAAATTTTGTTTTTCCCACAAGCTTTCTTAAAAATGCTTGTTATTTGGTGATTATGGGTTGATTCCACCCGCCAGTACAGCCCTCTTACCCATTCCAATAGAACTGATCATTGCCTGCACCTTGTTTGGAACCTCCATGCCACCTGGCGGTAGATGATGTCTTCCCATGAGGCACGTTGACTGTTAGGCTGTCGTCCAGATCACTATTAGACCAAGGGCTTGATAATTGCGATTTGTACTCTCGTAGCAGAGGTTGAGAGGTGGGCCGTCCCCCTTGATGAAGAATTAGAAATTAGAGATGTTTTATTTAAAGGGAAAAACGTAATACACATCTAAATAAATGTAAATGTAATAATATATTTTAGTAGTAGACTTGGATAAACTTATTATAAAGATTACCAGTTGACTGATGTAAAAATTATTACACCCCATCATTAGTTTAAACTGAGCAAGAACTATTTTTTTTACTCTAAATAAACACGTTTGGGTTGTGAGTCACTTTTTTCTAGAATCTTCCATATAAAAAACTCAAGTTTCCGAGATTAAGAGTTAATGTTTGGCCAGTGTCATCTCATCAAGTGACTTGGGCTATCTTGAACTGTAACCATGACCACCGCAGGGACCAATCCCCAATTTTAGCTTTATAAGTCTTGAAACTGGTGCACGAAGAAGGATTAGAAGACGAATGTTGATTTGTTAATAATTAGGTTTGAAAGTCTGTGTTTAAAGGCTTTATTTAAGTCATACGAGTTTGCTAAAAACTTAAGATAGAGCTTAGAACATTAATATATTAGAAATAGCTTTTGCGTCTTTTACGAAACCATTCCACTCTAGAGAATAGAAGTAGTTGCTCTCTATTTTCAGTAAATTAAAGAACATATGTAGTTTTTGTCAAACCTCTTCTGTTGAGAGTGTACCTGGAAAACTGTATAGATGACCAACGTCATGGGTCTGGATACTTCTTCTGTCATTGTGGCCGAGTCCACTGGAGTGGGCAGTCTTTAAAAAAGTAATACGAAAAACATAGGTTGGTTGAGGTATTAACCACAGTTAAATCGACGTCCAGAACTTCTGTTATAAGTTTAATGGTTATTTCGTCTTACCTGTCTAACCGCAAAGGGTACATCATAAATTCTCTTGCCATCCGAAAGAGAGCGTCCTTCGATGCTGCTGTCGCCACTGCTTCGGTCCTCTCTCTGGCACACAGGTACTCTACTAGTGGCGTAGGGAGAAGGATAGTAAAGACTTCCCTTAGCTCTACTGTAGATGGGGTTTGTAGTGGGCTTCGTCTCCACCTCACACATCGGGACGGATTCAGTGGTGGCCTCCTTTTGCACGCTCCTGGTGTCTATGGAAACAAAGTAGACGGTTGTACAGACATATAGAAATACGGGTAGTTATAGAAAGAGCAGAAAGATGTAGCTAGAGAGATAGATAGTGTCTAGATGGTTGGGATGTGGAGTAGTAGAAGATGGCATCAGATAATGTAACATGCCTTCATAATGATGGCCCCTCCCGTGCCTCCTCCGAGTAACACTACACACGACGACGACAACGATAATCAGGATAACACAAGTCACGACCACAGGGACGATGATAGCCAGATTGGTATAAAATGGAGGGGAACTGACCCTTATAGTGGACGACGGGTGACCTGTAAAACAAAAAGACAGACTTAAGAAGCTGGAAAAGATATCTTAAAGATACGAGTTTCGTATCCATTATCTTCGTGATACTTGTCTTTAAAACTTGACTTTTTTTATATCATTGAATATATAGTTGGTTTAGCCCTAAGATCAGCAATATTATCTACACAAAGTTTCGAAGTGTAGTAAATGAGATAAAATATTGTGCAGTTAATTACGTTTTTTTACTTGAAAGTTCAAGTGTGTCCACAATTCTCTGTATTGTAGACTTTGCATATTGAGCTTTGCTAAGCTAATTAAACACTTCAGTGAGAAGAATAGTTAAATGTCATCTTCCTTTATATCAGAATAAAAACTGCCAATCTGATAATTATCTACTTTGGTAAATAGCTTGATTCTTCATCAATAACCATTTTTGATTGTCAGTTAGTTAATTTGTTAGTTATTTTAAAATGGGGGAGGGGGATGAAGGAATACCGACTTTTACGACCTGAAAACCGAGATGTTTGGAGTTTAATAACTTATTCCGGGACAATTGTTGATCTCCATCTGACGTGTAATTAAACATTTTTTAGAGTTCAAGGTCAGTGCAGTGCTTGGGACGTTGAATTACTAAGATGTGAACAAAGAACCACAGTGAACGGAACACATTGTCAGAAGTTTGACATTTCTGTAACAACGTGAGACCGAAGAGGACAAACGAATGTAGCGAAACTAGTTTCTTCAGCATCAAGACTTATAACAGTTTCTTCTGTTTACTGTGTGTTTTTGTTCTCTAACTGCTACACACGATATTGACTTATTTTATGATTAACAAGGTATGGTTCGAATAGCTTCTTTGCTGACCTATAGCTACACTAATAGCAAAAAAGTTTTTAATATAAAGAATAGTTTTATTTTTTGTAATGTACCTGATACCGGTAGAGTGACAAAGCTATAATCAGCAGTGGTAGAGCCTGCGTCATTTTGTGCTACGACACGAAGTTGATACCAGGTGGCGGGGTTCAGACTGGTTATTCTGTACGTCGACTGGCGAGGAAAGATCCTGTCCGTCACTGTTGTCCAGTCCTGACTGATTTCCGGTTTATATTGGATAACAAAGAACGATACAGGACAGCCACCACTGTCCCACTCCGTGAAATGTAAAGTCGCAGACGTTATGTTGACTCGTATAAATGCATGCTGGGTAGGAGACGACGGTGCTGGGAAAAAGAATAAATTTTAGTTTGTTTTGTTTTTTTGTTTTTATTTCGCGCAAAGCTACTCGTGGACTTTCTGTGCTAGTCGTTAGAGTAAAAGACTAGAGCAGTGGTTCGTATAGTGTGGTTCACAGACCACAGGTGGCCCAAGACGGTCCTTCGGGGAGGGGGGCGGTGGTCGTAAACTACGGTGGCCGAACGACTGTCCTCCACGGTGGTCCGGCCGGGCGGAGTGTACGGTACAGCAGTACTAGTGGCGTAGGGAGAAGGATAGTAAAGACTTCCCTTAGCTCTACTGTAGAT